GTATATAATCGGGCTGGTTTCGGGTAAACCCGAAAAACCGAACTTGAATTGACACCCCAAGAGGAGGGCGAGTTATTCTTTTCCTGAATCGCTAAATGTCGCCCTAAGAATTGCTAAACATCGCCCTAACTTAAATATAAAATTACTTATATACCCTTAAACAAAAATTCAAAATTGGCTCTAAACAAACAAGCCCTTACATTTCAAATTCATTCCCCTCCCCACTCACCCGCCCTTTGAAAAAAAAAAGCTCTGCCGCCCTCTCACCCGCGACAACCGCCGCTCAGTCACCCGCGACAGCTCTCACCCGCGAGCGCCGCCGCCGATCTCGCCCGCCAGTCGCCGCCGTCGCCAGTCCCGCACACCAGTCGCAACCGCCGCCAGTCGCAGCCGCCGCCAGTCCCGCCAGTCGCCGCTGCCCGTCGCGTCGTCCAGCCGTCGCCCGATCTCGCCCGCCAGTCCCGCCCGTTGCGTCGCCGCCGTCTCCCGCCAGTCGCCTCTGCCCGTCGCGTCGTCCCCGGAGAAGACCGCCGCCGCCCGCTAGTCGCCGCCTGTCGCCACTCGTCACCGGAGAAGACCGCCGGAGAAGGTACCGCGATGGCCCTCCGGTTAGACCGCCGGTTGATCGTCGGTTCAACCGCGCGTTATTCAATAAATATTAATAATAAAAAAATAATTAAAAAATATACTTAATAAAAATAATTTAGTTATATATTTTGTCAATAATGATATAAAAATTTTAAAAACGTATTCGATAAATGTTAATTAATGGTCGAACCATGGTCCGACCGCAGGTCACTTGCGGTGGAATCATGGTTGAACCGCAAATGACCCGCGGTTCCCATTTTCTGTGTTTTTTTTTCAGTTCATGTTTTTACCTCGTCGGACTCGCTACTCATGATTCAGACGTCCTACCGACGGTATTGGCTTCAAAATGACAATAGTGTTTCTCTCCTTAGATAGTGTTTTTTTTAGTCCAAATGATGTTTGTTTGAGGAAGGGAAGGTAAAGAAGCTAAGGGGTTAAAAGTGTAACTTTGATTCTTTTTAGGGCGACTTTTAGTAATTTTAAGGGCGACCTTTAGCAACTCACTTCTTTTTTGGGAGAGGAAATGACAAATCACAAATGTAGAGATAAGATAGGGAGGAGAGTTTTTCTGCGGAGAGAAGGGACTCAGGGAGAGAGAAAGGAGAAATAAGAGGGAGAAGTTGATCTTCTTTTTTGAGGAAAAGATTGGAGAGAGGTAGGGTGAGATTTGTTTATGGGTGATCGAGAGTAGGGATGACAACAAAACCCGAACCCACGGGTACCCACCCGACCCAATTCGGTCAACGCGGGTAAAATCCGTGTTGACGGGTTTTTGGCCGGGTTCGGGTTTAAACCCGTTACACTATTTACCGGGTCGGGTTTGAGTTTAGGTAAACCCGCCCCATGGGTACCCGTCCACACATATAATTACTTTCCCAGTATATTTAATATTCTAAATAATATATCTTCCTTAAACAACTAATATTTTTTATGTTTTGTGGAGACATGTATAATTTGTTCTTTCTAATTGTTTAGAATGAAGTTGATATTATGAAGTGGAGAGTGAAAAAACTTAGTTGACGAGGAAGAAACTTTCAATTAATCTTATTGTTTATAGATGTTTATCTTTAATTTTGAACAATTTGTATTGATCATTTGCGGTTTGCTTGTATGCTCTAGATTGGTGTTTTTTGTATGATTAATTTGTATGAGAAAATTGATGTTAAAATTTTATTTTGAAAGAAACTGGTTATTGTAAATTTTTTACCACAAAAACCCACGGGTACCCATGAACCCGCAGATACCCAGCGGGTTGGGGTGGGTTTGAGTTTTTCAAACCCAACGGATTTTACCCCGGGTTTTTTGGCGGATAAACCCATGGGTTTGGGTTTGGGTTTGACAAAACCCGCCCCAACCCGACCCATTGCCGTCCCTAACCGAGAGAGAAGAGCAGCGGGGGATGGGTTCGGTAGGGATTGATTAGGTCTAGGTTTTTTTAATTATTAATATATGATATTTTTAAATTACAAAATATTCACTAAATTGTTTATATATATACATGTAAATTTGGGTAAATTGCAAGATTGGTCACTGAGATCATTAAAAACGTTCATGTTTGGTCACTAAAATTAATTAAACACTTCATGTTTGGTCACTCTCCGACCAACTCCGTTAACTTTTGCTTATGTGGCAGTCAACTCTTATAGTTGACCGTGTGACATGATAAATAAAAATAATAAAATTTAATTTTTTAAAAATTCCCACCTCATTGCAACTATTAGAAAAAGAAAAATTCTTTAGTCGTCAATGGCGCCGTGGACGTGTCGCAAACAGAGTGGGGATCTCTGTTTCTGTGAATCGATGGGCAAAGTCGGCAACGAATCTGCTCTCTATACGATTCTCCGATTAATACACCAGAGAACCCCATCTTTTCTTCTTCCCGAAGAATCACCGGTGGGGACTGGGCAAGGGAGAACGAATAGGAACTTTGCCCCTTTGCCTCATCCGTCGTCTATTGCTGAGCAAGCCCGTAACCTAATTGCTTGAGCTTTCAACGGCGGCGGAACCAGATGGCGAGGAAGGTTGAGCGATGATGGTCGATGGTTGGCGTAGCCCGGTGAGTCCGAATCGATCGTGAGTGCTGGAGAAGAGGATGTCGGGCGTTCGAGGGAGAAGGAAATTGCATGGCTGCTCCCTTGTTCTAGTGGTGGTCGATTTCACCACAACAGCTTCTTCCTTTCTTCATCCATGCATCTCTCTGTCACAAACCCTCTCTAGGGTTTTCATCCGCCCCAAAAATTACCTCTGGTTTTCATCTATTCGCTTTGGGGGAAACAAGAAATTAGATCGATTTGGTTGATATACATGTTGTCCGTGAGTGGCCATGTCGGGCCCGACGATAATGGCTCTAGCGACGAGAGGACGCAGCAGTCGCTGTTGTTTGCTTCCTCTTTGCTTGCTCCGATGAAGGGATTTGACCCGTCCTCCTCCTAGCATCTCTAGAACATAGACGACGACCATGGCCTTCACTTTCGCCTTGGCGTACGATTCGAAGGGTGGTCCGTCGTCTTTGTGGTGGAAGAACTCAGATAGGTAGTTCCCAGGCCGGACCTCGCATAAGCGGCAGCGCGACTCTCTGAGATTTTAGTGTTAGTGGTGGCGGAGGTGGAAGTGGTGGAGGAGGCGGCGTTGGTGTTGGAGCTGCTGGAGAAGGATTTGGAGTGGCGGAGCTCGAGGGTTCATAGCTAGGGGTGTGGAACCATTTCAATCTCGTGGCAAAGAATTTGGGCAGAATCCCCAATTCATGTGGAACCCAAATCTCCATTATGCTTGTTGCACGTCCATGGCGCTGAAGGCGGCGGTGGCATCTAATATTTTTGTTTTATATTTTTTAATAGTGGCAATAATGAGGTGGAAATTTTAATTGCCATGTCACACATTTAACGGTCAACGATAAGCGTTGACTGCAACATAAGCAAAAATTAACGGAATTGGATGGAGAGTGACCAAACTTGAAATGTTTAACTAATTTTAGTGACCATGAATGGAATTAAATATTTATAGTGACTAAACGTGAACGTTTTTAGTAATTCCAGTAACCAACCTTGCAATTTACCCTGTAGATTTAGAATGCTACTTATGATTGTTCATATATGTTTGTTAATGAAGCAATGGTTCGTTAGCGGTTTTTCAGCGGTTTAATACCTGTTAGACAAATAAAGTGCGAACCGTTAACTGTATTGGTTCATGCTCCGGTTCGGTTTTCACAACATTGGTATTCTGCCTTTTTATAAATAAATAACGTGAAAGATATGCCACAACGGCACAACCACCTCATAATTGAAGGTTGAATTATAGATGAAAGAAGTGACAATTAATATTGATAGTCATCTCTAATTTCGCGAAAAAATTTGGCTATTTCTTTCAAAATTTGAACAAAACTGCCTTATTCGAACGTTGAAGGAAAAAAAGATTATGTCAAAGTTCGTACCAAAATAAGGTGTTAACCATTTTTATAAATGAATTGAGTCAAAGACGAAATAAATGTTCGAATCAAAATTGTAACAAAAACTGGTTTATTTAAACGCTCAGATCAAAATTGTATTTTATTTCAAAGTTCATATCAAAATAAGGTATTATCCATAACGAAAACTAATTGAAATGAATTGAATTAGTTGAATATTTAAAGGGATTAATTGAATTTGATTGATGGTTTGGATTGTAAATTGCAAACTCTAGACATGGGTTAATAGTTGATATTTGTTTATAAACCTAATGATGTTGATTTACATATTTATTTTTAATGTGCTTCAATGAAAAGTGGCCCAAGTATTTACTAAAAAAAAGGGCCAAGTAGCAAATTAAGAAGCCTATACCACAGTACAACACAGGAAGTACCGGATTGCAATTGCTGGACAGGGCATACAAATTATTAGTCCAAAAAGAACAGAGCGCCCTTCCTTGGATTCAGGGAAGGTCCAATTTTTCAATTATGTATGTTATGTTATCGCGTGGAACGTCCATATAGTATTGGGAGGAATACACACGAGAATGTCGGTGATTTATTATTATCATTAATTTTGAAAATATTTAAAACATGGACAGTCGAGGCGTCGAAGATTTTCATCGGAAACCTTTCTTTTCGCTACGAATTGGTCGTGGCAGAATTATTATATTTTCTGAGACGAATGTTGTCGTCGCCAAAACTCTTAAATGTTAGTGACATGCATTTCGTCGTAAATTTATTATCCATTTATTTCTCACAACATCTGCGAAGTAAATATTTTCTCAAACCAAAATATTTCGTTGCGAAGTAAAGTTCTTATCCATTTATTTTTCTCACAACATCTGCGATGAAATACTAAAAATCGCCGCAAAAACTTTTCCGAACGAAAGTTTCCGTCTCCAAAGGTTTCGTCGCCAAAATCTTTTTTTAGGGAAGAGACATGTGTGCATCCAATCAGAAGGCTTGCTTACTTGCCCGCAGAAGTTGGTGAAACAACAATAGGACTCCTCACAATATGCTTTCCACTTTCCTCAATCCAAACAATCGACCCATATGAAACCAGCCCATTCCCATCACTCGGATACACAATCTCCACATAGTAATCTCGCTGCTCGTACTTCTTACCGAACACCAAACTCTGAGGCCACACCGCAACTTTCACTCCCTCCGGTGGAGCCACCTTCACTTTGTACGTAGCCGCCCCTCCTCCTACATTCGTCACGACTCTTCGAAACCTGTGCTTCAACATCGCTCCGGTAGTCACATTTTTATCGTAAAATGCCACGAACGACGGGTAGTTCAAATCGAGTGAAGAGTTTGCACAGTTGTAATCGTTCGATCTCGTGATTGTCATAATCTGATTCCTAGTAAAGTTCATCGAACATAACAGAGACACGTAGTCCTGTGGCGCCGCATCGTAGACCAGACCAGGGTCCATGGCCTTATTCGGCACCATATGGCCCGCTCCCATGGCCAAAGGAGACGCGGCCGTGAAATTTCGTCCCACATCCTTGATTGGCATCATTGAACTGTCTAGCTCATTAGCAGTCGTCATCATGGCCGATCTAATAGCTGCATGGCTCCATTCTGGATGCGTGCCTTTCAGGAGCGCAGCCACGCCAGAAGCGTGAGGACAAGCCATCGACGTGCCAGAAATAAGATTGAACCCTTGGCTCGATAGCAACATATTCGTACCAACCGTGGCTGTGTAGTCATTGGGGATCCAGGAAGCCAACACGAAGCTTCCTGGAGCCATGACGTCTGGCTTCAGAACCGCGGGGCAATTCGGAGAAGGACCTCGAGATGTGTAGTCAGCTACTGAGGGGGCCACCTCTTTTCCTGTTACGGTCTGTTGGAATTTGATTCCAGCGGTAGGGTCATCGCTACTGTTTATGTAGTCGATGACTGCAGCAAACTCCATCGTGGAAATCAGCACGCCTGGACAACTCGTTGACTCCAAGTCCACGCGGGAAGGATCCTTAGAGACGAAGATCGCACCAGCGAGATTCGTCACGCTGGCAATGGCGTACATTTGGTCGTCCAGAAACCCCGTGTCTTCGCACACAATGATAGCACGTGGAGCTTCAGCGAGCAACTCAAGAGAGTCACATTTGGAGAGCGTCTTGTTGTATATGAGGGTTTCATCCCTGACCCATGCGTCGAGGGGGAACATGCTCCTCCCAACTATGACGCGTTTTTCTTTCTCTTTGTTATTCCCTATGGTCAAACTTGCGGCGTAAGTGCGGTCAAAGTTGCCTGCCGCGACGGTCAGCACCCAGGGGATTCCGTTATGTAACGGGCCTCCCCTGGGCCCAGCATTTCCTGCCGAGGACGAGACCAAGATCCCCTTCTCCATCGCACCAAACGAGGCGATCGCAATAGGATCCTGGTACAACGGGACGCCATCGAACCCCATGGAGATGGAGATGATGTCGACTCCATCCGCCACGGCTTGGTCCATTCCGGCGAGCACGTCCGAGGCGTAACGTCCCTCTTCAAATATCACCTTGTACATGGCCACCCTGGCCCGAGGCGCCATGCCTCGAGCCACACCATTAGCATAGCCAAAGAAGGATGCACCATCGACGTAGTTCCCTGCTGCGGTGGAGGATGTGTGGGTCCCGTGCCCCTCGGTGTCTCGAGCCGAGTTCATCGTCAGGGTGACATTCGGGTTGGCAGCTTTGACCCCTTTGTTGAAGTATCTAGCCCCAATAAGCTTGGAGTTGCATAGGGAAGAGTTGAAGTCTTGTCCCTCCTGGCATGTCCCTTTCCACTTGGATGGGAGCTTGGAGGTGTACACCATTCCGTGGTCGCTGAAACTTGGACTTTCCGGCCAGATTCCGGTGTCGATTACTCCAATGATCACGTCTTCGCCGAATTTTGAGGCTGGCCATAGGCCGGTTGATGGGTCGAGGGACATGAACTCGGGAGTATAGGTGGTGTCCATCGTGACGAGTTTGTCTTTGTAGGATGAAAGAAAACCCGGGAGGTTTTGCAGGGTTTGGAGTTCTTGCTGGGATAAAACAGCGCTGAACCCATGAAGGGCGTTTTGGTAGGTGTACAAGAAGGAATTTTCGAGGGACGAGAAGTGATGGTGAGTGGTACTGGTTGAGGATTTTACGTCGGAAACGATCGAGGAGTGCCATTGTTGATGGGTGGTGAAGTGTTTTGGACGTGAGGATGGGTCTAGGTGGACGATGTAGGTGGAGTAATCGTCGGTTATTGGTACTGAAGTGGCATGGAAAGTGAATACGAGAAGAAGAAGTGAGCAGAGGTGTAGCAGTGAAAGACAAGTGGGCTGCATGGTTGTTTTTTTTTTTTTGGTGGAAATGCTTATTGATGACCATCAGCATCTTTTTCGTCCAATTTATACAAGAAGTTCGGGCTTAATTGCAAGTTTGGTCACTCGAATTGCTACAAAATTTCACGTTTGCCACTCAAATTAATTTATTCCATTTATAGTCACTTAAATTAGGTTAACAGTCCAAGTTTGGTCACTGGCCGTTAGTCTCCGTTAACTTTTGCTGATGTGGCGGTCAACTCATATAGTTGACCGTTAAATGCATGACGTGGCAATTAAAAAATTAAAAAAATTAAAATTAAAATTTCCACCTCAACTATTAAAAATTAATAAAAATAATAATAACCTTTCTCTACCAACAAATAAGAATAATGACGTGGCAACAAACTCTCCCTCCCTCACTCTCACTAGTCACTCCCAATCCCGCTCTCTCCCTCTATCCCTAAACCCGCGCCGCCGCTCCTCCTCCGCCGTCGCCGCTCTCTCCTCTGAAAAAATTCTGAAACCACCGCCATTTCCACCATGCCCTTAACCGACCCAACCCCAAGCCTCTCCGGCCGCCTCATCATCTCCTCCTTCCTTTTCTTCTTCCTCCTCCTTCTCCTCCTCTATTCTCCGGCCACCTCCGCCCCTGAACCCGACGTCGTCTCCCTCCTCTCCTCCCACTCCCTCCTCAGCTGCGTCTCTATCCTACGCGCCGCCCGCGGCGACGTCTCCGGCGCGAACCGGGCTAGGCTGATGGCAGAGAAGCTGGAGCGTGGACTTGAATCGGGAGTCAGGGGGTTCGCGTGGTCGGTTGGGTGGGATTATTTGAGTAACTACGCGTGGAGGGAGTTGGAGTAGAGGGAGCTGCTGGGCGCCATTTCGGATCTGAACGACTTGATTTCGGTTCTGGGCAGGCTGACCTCGGCCAGAGCGGACGCCGAGAGAGTGGCTTGGGCGGCGCACAATTACGGCAACTTGGCGAGGACTGCGAAATCAGCAATGCGGAGGATGCTGAACACTTTCAACAAGAAGGTACCAAAAAAAAAGAATATCTGATTTCCCCCCTGTTTTATTTGTTGGTAGAGATAGGAAGGTTATTATTATTTTTATTAATTTTTAATAGTTGAGGTGGAAATTTTAATTTTAATTTTTTTAATTTTTTAATTGCCACGTCATGCATTTAACGGTCAACTATATGAGTTGACCGCCACATCAGCAAAAGTTAACGGAGACTAACGGCCAGTGACCAAACTTGGACTGTTAACCTAATTTAAGTGACTATAAATGGAATAAATTAATTTGAGTGGCAAACGTGAAATTTTGTAGCAATTCGAGTGACCAAACTTGCAATTAAGCCAGAAGTTCGCGTCTCATTTCTATCAGAATCTTTGCTTCTTTTGGAGAACGAACAGAAGGTGCCAGAGGAAATTACATGAACTAGGTTCGGCTGGATTTGACGTATTATGAGTTGTACGTGTGGGGTTTTATTCGTGGAAATAAAAAAGAGTTACGTTGGGCCTCTTTGTCTCTGCTTAATTGGCAACCTACGTGTGTTGGCTACCCATCAGGCCGGCTACATTGATTGTATGTCTTTGTAGCTACTTAATGGCAGGAATATTTTTCCATGTCCAAATGCTAAAGGTCACTGTCCGATTATCGGCCGATGACTATAGAACAAGACCAACAAAAAAGCAATGGTCAAACAAAAACCACCCACTGTTCAAAGAGATTGTTTGGAAAGCCATGTCAGGGCTATTTGAAGGGCCGGAGTTTAACAGTGCATTATCACGAAAATTAGCTTGTTGTCCGACTCGTTGGTCAAAATGTCATTTGAATACAATATATTTATGAATTATGATGTGTATTTAAATTTTAAATTATTTGAAATGCTGAATTTTGTATGACAATAAGATGACATCGAAATTATTTTTGCATTTTCGAAATTCTTATAACCATTGAGAAGGAAACAATTGGTTACTTTTTGGCTTAATTCACTTGCATAGTCATAACTTTCACATTTTTTACAATAATAACAACTTTTGAAAAATACACAGTTGTAGCCACATTTTGGAAACTCATTTGATAAAATTAGTCATTTTCGTTAAAAACGTTAATACCATTAGCAAAACGTTGATTTAGATACCACTTCAGCTCCCACATCAATTCCAACACATGTCTAACTAGACTCGCCATGCCACCTTGATGCCACGTCAAATTAAAATTTTGATTTTTTATAAATTATTATTATTATTATTATCTTTCTCTTTCTCTTTTGCTCTCCCCACCGTCCGCTTCATTTCCCTCTCCAAAGCTTCGGTTTCTTCCTCTGCTACTAGCTCTCTCTGACTTTTTGATTCCTTGTGGAATGGATAATCGATGAGCAACAATTCAGAGTAGCTGTTGGCTTCATGTTGACGAGAAGCAGCAGGTGGAATAAATGGACCGGGACCCGCAACAACATATGTCTCTTGGGCCGGAGATCCATGTCCTCCAGCTGGTGGGAACGAACCGAAATTGTGGCGAGCGGCCTAGCTAGTAGGGGTGGACACGTGGGTGGTTAATCCGCGGATTGATATCGATCCACCCGCAAATAACCGGCATGCAATGGGTGATTGATGTGTGTGGATTGTGGATTGTTAAATCTCCCACCCGTACTTATGTGGGTGAGTGGTGGGTGGATTGCGGGTCACCCGTATGTCCTGCATCCTATTTTTACATGAAAAAATGTTGTTTCTTATAGTATCGACTATTCATCATATTTTTGAACTGCACTACAGTCTGACCATATACTGCAAAAGGTGAAGAATAAAGAATAGTTTTGACTACTATTATTGGTTATTGTGTTGTGCAATATCCATTGGCAATAGATATTGGTATGCAAATTATTGTTAATATCTATTAAATATTGGGATACAAACTATAAATTATTAATTGTATCAAAATCAAAAATTATTGATACAATCTTGCTAATTTGCGATGAACTTATTATAAATGTTAGTCAATTTTTTTAATGGCTAGTTGGAGAATTGCTTTTGAGAGTTAACCCGCGACCCAACCGCACCCATCCGTCACCCACCCAACCCAATCTGCATAAGTATGTGGGTGGATTGTGGGTCACATATATTCCAACCCGCTATTAAGCGGGTGAGTCAATTTTAGACTAAAATCCACCCAACCCGCCCATTGCCCACCCTACTACCCAGGCAGGAATGAAGTCAGTGGGCCAGGTCCACGTAGGTTGATTGCTGGCGAAAAGGTCCCGAGAGGACGATTAGGAGCTGGGTACCCCTTCTGTCCGCCGCCACTCCTAGCACCGAGACCTTCAGCTCGCTGCTGCATTTGACAGTCGATCACAATATGGCCTCCATGTTTGCAATAAACACAGAACTTGTGGCAGCGATAATGTTTTTGTAAATGCCCCTTCTCTCCATAGTAGTGCCATTCAAGATCAGTGGCCGGAATCCTCCTCTGGAATTGGGGGCGATCAACGGAAAAATCATAGGTATCGTCAAAAGAAAAAACTTCCTCAGTTGCTGATAGGGCAAAAGCGTGATGCCTGAATCCTATCTCGTAGTAAAACCGGAAAGTCCGGGTATTAGGGCTGACTATTTGGACCGGGACCGGATGAAAAACCGGAAACCGGACCGTATAACACGGACCGAGACCGGACCGGGACCGGATAGTAAACAATCCAATCCAATCTTTGGGCTTAGATTTGAGGTAAAAAACCGGATAAGAGAGTTCAACACCCAAAACTTTGCACTTAGTACAAAACTTAACCAACTCCTCATCCTTTTAGGCCTTAGGCCACTCAAATTCCCACATTCTCAATATAAAATCAAAACCAAATTGGGACCGGACCGGGTCAAGACCGGACAGGATCAAGACCGGACTGTACCCAATCCAATCTTCGGTCCTTATATTTTCAAAAAAACCGGACTGGACCGGATCAATTTGGGCCAATTTAACCGGACCGGGCCGTATAGTCACCCCTACCGGGTATCGTCTCTCAGGGACTGGTACGACCTTATGATTTATCGATTCTATGGAGCAAACTATAGGTGAAAATTGTTTGGTTGATGAAATTATTATCTAATAGCAAAATAACTAAACAAAACAAGCAAATTAAAATGGCCGGGAGAAAATCAATGGGAGAAAGCTCTGGGAGAAACACCGAAATTCACTACCTATCATATCCAAATTAATTCACATATTCCAATCAGTTTAATCCATATCTCTACAGCTAGGATATCACTACTGTGCAAGCTATTCCTGTCGGAAATTACTACGTACTAAACAATTAAATCAAATCCTACTATCGTAGCTCAATGACTTAATTATTTAGCCTGAAGATCGATGTCCTATTTAAGATCGCATAACACCTTATTTAATCCACTGTCGCTTTGATAAGTTACTATGTCACATGAAATAGGTTCAGTTATTAGGGTTTCACTATCGCTAATAACCTAATTAACTACGAATAGATGTATTGGTGGCCAGTCAACACAAAGCATTAAGCAATTTCATGCAATAGAGATTGGAAGAAAAGAAATATGAATCAATCCATTAATTCTAGAAATAGCTACATTCTATGGTGTTTCCTCCAGAAATTGGGGTTTAGTTCACGACGAAAATAAAACACACAATCATGTTCATAATCATCATGTCACGAATAAAAACAAAAGGAAAAGAATATTGAATTTGTCGAACGATCTGGCTCCAATTCCTTCTTACTCCGATCGCTACTCTGCTGCTCCGCGCTCTAGATCTGCTGCAATTCTGCTCGCGAGTCCGTCTCCGTGTGCGCTGCTTGCTCTCTGTCCAAGTTCTCCGCTCGGCGCTCTTCTCCAATTAATTGCGTTCCAATTAATTCCTCTCCAACCCTCCTCCTTATTTCGTCCCGGTCCAAGTATATATATATATCCTCCTTCGGTCCAATAATCCCCAGCTGCCTTTTTCCAATTCTTTTCCCCTGCCAAAGGAATTCCTTGTCCCAGTAAATCTCCTGACAAGAGAAA